AACTTATCGAGGCCCTAAGCAACTCAGTGAGACTCTACCTCTAATAAAATATAAAAAAGGCCTGGGGATGTGGTTTGGTGGTTAAGTGCCCCTGGGTTCAATCCCTGGTGCCCCCCCCCCCCCCCAAAAAAAAAAAAAAAGAAGAAGAAGAAGAAGAAATGGTTTGAGGCAGCTCTTTCAAGTATTTCACAAATAATACCAAGCCAGTAGGGGTAGTAAACCCAGTAGGTGAAAAACCTGGTAGCAGGAGTGTGAATGGGAGGAATGGGAGAGTGGGGATGGGAATGAGGTAGGTAGAGGCCAGGGCTGCTGCTAAACATCCTACAATGCAAGGGACAGTCCACTACAATGAAGAATTATCAGGTCCAAATGTCAACAGTGCTGAGGCTGAGAAACTCTTGCACTGTATCTATCTATGAAAGACGACATGTTAGCTGGATGTTCTGGTGTAGGCCTGCAGTCCCAGATGCTGAGGCAGCTGAGGCAGGAGGATCACTTGAGCCCATGAGTTTGAGAGACCAGCCTAGACAACTTGGCAAGACACAATCTCAAAAAAGAAAAAAAGAAAAAGATTAAACTCATGAAATGTTCAAACCGTCATGGAGGCTGACGGTATTTAGTAGAGTAATGAACTGAATGAATGACTTATGTCTCATGAACAAATTCATTTATCCAAACTTCTGTGAATGATTACTCAGAAGCTCTCAAGTATTCCATTTTAAGAGGAAAATCTACAAATTTAAATTACTATATGAATTTATTGATTTAAAAATAGAATGGAAACAGACATCATTACTGTCATTATTAATGTGAACCCTTGGGGCTTTGCTGAGAGCCAAGAGCCTGGTCCTAATGGGCCAAATCTGTTTATGGAATTGAAAAACCTGAACTTAATAGAGAGAAAACCTTCCTCTACAAAGGAAAAACTGACATCAAACCACCAGAAGAACTGGATGTGAGAGACGGAGATAAAGCCCACTCTGAGGGTATCCTGGTTACTGAGTCTATTCATCCCTGTAGTCTGGTAACTGAGTCAGGAAATTACCCTTTTTTTGCTAAAGCCAACTTGAATTAGATCTGTCACCTGCAACCAACAGTGTCTAATACATCACTTGATTAATGTAGGCATATCAATATATTCTTAATATACTTTAAGAATTAGCAATAATGTGATGAAATATGAAGATTGAACTTGACATTTTTCTTTTTAAATTACAAAGTTTAAGGTAGAAATCCTAAATTACGCATTCAACCAACATCTATACCCTAATGTATATTAAATATCCTGTGTTAGGTGCTGGGAACATAAAGACAAAATAAAACCAAACCCCGCCCCCCAAAAACAAAACAACACCATGTTTCCCCTTTCAAGGAACTCTCACTTGAGTTGGGAGGACAGAAAAGTTCCATGTGGGCAGAAAGGTTCCATATGGTGTGAATGCTACACAGAAGCAAGGACATCTTGTGAGAGTACACAGGAGGGGTGCTTAACTCTGATGGGTAGGGAATAACCTAGAGGTGGTAACTGTCTAATAAAACGAGTCTTTTTTTTTTTTTTTTTTTGTGGTACAGGGGATTGAACCCAGGGTTATGTGCATGGAAGGCAAGCACTCTACCAACTGAGCTATATCCCCAGCCCTGAAGTGAGTCTTAAAAGGCCACTAGGTGGGTGAAGCAGGGACTGAGAAGGGCAGTTTAGCCGGAGAGAGCATGCTCCAAGAGGCTGGGTGCAAAGGAACAGTAAGGTAAATTTGGTACCTTGGCAGCAGGGAATTAGGATGAAATGTGAGGTGCACGGGGTGGCATTGGCAGTGGGATGAAACAGTGGCCAGAAAGGAGACTGAAGGGGAGGCTGGGGGTTGTGTCCTGACGGCCTTGGTGAAAAATTGAGACTTTATCCTGGAATCTTTGGGGAGCCACTAATGAATTTCATGCAGGTCGCCAACACTGTGTGTATTAGAAACAGCACTCTGTAAGGGGGGATAATAATAGTTATCTGGCAAGGTGGCCACAGAGATTATAGGTATTTAAAGTGGTGATTACTGTGCTCAAAGATAGTCAAGTCAAAACATGCACCCTCATTCTATTCTGGACAGTGTTAAAAACTCAAGAGCAGAGCATCCATTAGTAGGTGGGATTATTGAAAATTTTTACCAGAGGTTTAGACTTGCTCCAAGATAATCACCAGATCTGTAATACTGTGACATCTAAATTCCAAGTCAGTCTTGGACCTGACAGACCATTCAGGTTCCCACCAAACCAGGACATTTTAAACTGAGATGGAGTCTTCAAGATCATTCTACAACTAAAGGGTCTCCAATAGTCACTCTGAAATTTTTTCATTATCTGAGAATGGGGGAATAAAGTAGTCTATAACTAACTACCTATGAATTGAGTTTTACTTGAGGCTTATTTAACTCAATGTTTTTGGACTAAAAACAAATGCTAAAGAATGCTTCTTCTGGGTCAAAAGAGGAAAAGTTAAGGAAAAAATACTTCATTGCAACATAAAATATCAAATGAATCTTTTCTATGTTAAAGCAAGGACAGAGAGGGGGGAAGAGGGACAAGTGGCACCCAGGCTGCCAAACCATTGCAAGATTTCTTTCTGGAACGATAGGTCACTGGGTTATGTGGAGAATTTCACTTTGTGACCGATTTCAAGGGACCACTTACAACATTTACTTAGTCTAGTTATTTAGAAATTTTAAGGAGATAAAAGAAATTATTTGGGAAGCAATTATTTAAAAATGAATCTTTCAGTTTAAAAAATTTATGTCCCTATCAGAAAGTACTAATTTTGCATTGAAGGCAGAGCTTATCTAAAATTAGATGAAAATGGAAAGCATATGAAAAATACAGTATTTTATTAGTTAAGTGTGAAAGTAATATCCATTTGTTAGTTAATGCTTTTTTCCTCTTTATTTTTTACCAGATTGTCAGTTTTTAAGGCTTTAATCACTGGAACATGTTTTTTTTCATGAAAATCATAATTATTAACATTTTTCCAGGTAACTGAAACTTATCAACAATTTAGAATATTTTTTTCTTATACGAAGTTTAAATAAACCTATGCCTGGTATGTGTTTACATAGGAAACCTTAAAAAGAATATAGTTTCCTTGGGTTGGGATTATTAGAGGGGAAGAAAGGGGCTAACACTTTTATTTTATATCTTTTGGTACAATCTAATATTTTTAAGCTTACATGAGCATGGATTGTCTTAATAATTAAAAGAGCTAGGGTTGAAGTTGTAGCTCAGTGGTAGAGCACTTGCCTAGCATGTGTAAGGCACTGGGTTCGATTCTCAACACTGGACATAAATAAAATAAAGGTTCATTGACAACTAAAAATGATTTAACAAATAATTAAAAGAGTTCAATTAAAAATGTTTTAAAACATGTGTATCTTAATAGTTATTAAATAGCTATATAAGTTTTCTCCTATTTAATTTCTTACATTTTGAAGTCATAGTATACCCACACTTTAGTAACATGTTCTGTATCAACTCTATTCAAATATATGCAAATGACCTTGAAATGATCATACAATCCATTTCCTACAAGAGCTGATGTAATCAAAACCATAGCATTATTGTCCATATATATATATATATATATATATATATATCTCCAGAAGATCCAATAAAAGAAAGTTTAGCCTGGAGTAGTTTTATGTTCCTGCATAATTTTTTTTAATATTTATTTTTTAGGTGTAGATGGACACAACACAATGCCTTTATTTTATGTGGTGCTGAGGATCGAACCCGGGTCCTGCCCGTGCTAGGCGAGCACTCTACCACTGAGCCACAATCCCAGCCCCCCTGCATAATTTTTAAAAAAAACTTCTACATGTTTAACATTTGCTCTTTCAAAGTACATCCCCTAGCACAGTATAAAATCCAATTAATAACTTTTTCCCCATTTTTAAAATGTAAAAGGGATTGAATAATTTATTTTTTCAAGTAAACTCTTTGACTCAAAAGTTAAATCTAATTCCATATGTTAGTCTCCAAGTGAGGCTAAAACTCCTGAAAATTTCTGAAAGATTACTTTAAAAAAAGACTTTTAATAAGGATGATGTTTTAATTATGTCATCATTTATGAACCTCATCTTCACAACAGCTGCATTTTTTTTCCTGTAACCTTGGGCAAATTATTTAATCTACCTAAGCTTAAGTTTCCTCACCTTTAAAATGGGAACAATTATAGGACCTAGTTCATAAGGTTGTTATGAGGATCAAACATGTCAATGCATGTAAAGTACTTAATGTAGTCTGTAGGACATAACAATCAATAACTATTAGTTCTTATTTTGTTATATTTTACTATTGTTTTAGTAAGTTTAACATTTCCCAAGATAAGCTCTAGCTTTTGAAATACACCACTTTAACATACTTAGTAGAACACATTCTTCCCAGTTTTTATATTAGCAGTTTAATTTTAACTTCCAGTGCAATTAATCTCATCTTTTCTGTCATACAACACAAAACTAAGTGTGAAGGACATTTATTTCAGTTTCTGTATTTAGTACTATTCATTAGCTAACATTTATGTATCTCACTATAGCTAAGTACCACTAAGAATAGCAATGCTAACAACAAATGCCTGTTTGAAAGGGTCATCCTTTAACATAATTCTGAAATGAATGACATGTCAGAAAATGGTTCCAACAGTTAAATATGCAAAGTACTGGTTTCCCACAGAAAGAAAGTAAACTCACATTCTCACATTCTAATACATAATTATAAAATTTAAAACAGTCTCAGTTTCCTCTTGGAAAAGATTAATTGGATTAATGCATTAATAATAGCTTAGGCAAATAAAACACACCCTATTTTAAAATAAAATTTGAAATAGAACTTGTGAATGAGCCTAAAAGTACTTGAGCTGATTTCAATCAAGAGGATCATTTAAATAGAGAAAAATTTCCTAGTGTTTCTTTTTAACTTCTGCTGCCTATATATTCTGAAGATATAACAAGAAGTCAGCTGTACAGTACCTTGATCAGGTTGTGTCCCACTGTGTAGACAGCTGCTAAATTTCCCTTCTCTCCAGGAGCATGCAGACCTGTGTTATATCCATGCCAAGCAACTAGATATGGGTTGTGAATTGTAATCCAGTATTTGACACGATCCCCAAACTTCTGGAAACAGTATGTGGCATAGTCATTGAAGATATCAACCATAGATTCATTCTTCCATCCCCCATATTTTTCTTGCAACGCCAAAGGCAAATCCCAATGGTACAAAGTCACTACAGGTTTAATGTTTCTAAGTACTAGAGCGTCCAGAAGAGTATTATAATATTGCAGACCTTTTGCGTTGGCAACTGCTGCTATTCCATCGGGGAAAAGCCTCGGCCAGGAAATTGAAAACTGATAAAAAGAAACTCCTATAAAATCCAGAGCCGATAAGTCTTTTTCCAGAAAAATGTAACTGTCACTGGAGCCATTCGTGCTGTTGACATTTTTAAGGTGTGTATGGATGAAATGATCCCATACAGAGGGTCCTTTTCCATCCTTCTTCCAACTCCCTTCCACTTGAAATGCTCCAGTCCCAACACCCCAAAAAAAGTTTTTAGGGAAAGTGTCATAGAGAAATAGCTGACTTGCATTTACAGGACTAAAATTAGGATTTTTAGACCATATAGCTCTTCCGTCTCCAGAGAGGCCAGTAACAGCTTGTAGCAGAATAAATGCTGACAGGATGACAGATCTTTGCAGCGCACCGTTGGACATTGTTTTCCTATAGCGTATGTGTCTTTCATCGGCTCTGAAGAAAATCCATTCATTCCCTGGAGACCCTGCTGCACAGCCTGGCTTCATTTGCCACTAACTGTTGGACTGTCTTATCAACGCGTTAGCAAAAGCCTGTGATTGTAAAGCTCTGTCAATGATTAGCTTGAACTGTGAGACTCAGGATGGGTCCTGGAGAGCCACGTAACTTGAGGGAGGTGGCCCTATTGCAGTCACCCACATGTTTCGTCCTGGGAAAAATTAGACGAAAATGCATGGGTGACAACGGTTTGGATGTGTAACTCAAACATATGTGAACAGTGAATAAGAATGGCATTTTCTGTGTAGCCTTTCACATTGACGCAAATCTTTTGAACATTATTGAATAAGTATATATCTTGGCTATTTTTAGAGTTTTTGAATGGTAATTTTATTATTTCATATTTCAGGAAAAACTATCTGATATACAAGTCAATAGCATTTCTGTATACCAATAATAAATAAGACATAAGACATTATACTTCCATAAAATCATAAACACAACTAAGAATAATCTGAATAAATATTACCAACTGTATTAACAGATTTGAAAGAAGATTTGAATGGAGAAATATAGCACTTTCTAGATGAAACATGAATACTTTCCAATTTAATTTACCAATTTAGTGTACTTTTCACCAAAATCCCTTAATTTCAAATTTAGTTCAATTAGATTATTGAGAAAGATTACTTGAAGAATAAATAAGTAGAATTACAAAAAGAAAAGAAGAAAACCTGAAAGAGAAATAGTGAGGTCATAACTGCTTTCAGACCACAACAAGTTAAACAGCATGATTCTGGAACAAGAATAAACAGAAAGAAGTATTGTACAGAGGGCTGGTGCTGTAGTTCAGTCCTCTCCTGTTATGAGAAAAATTAGACGAAAATGCTTGGGTGACAACTGTTTGGACGTGTAACTCAAACACAGCACTTGCCTCACACACGTGAGGCACTGCGTTTGATCCTCAGCACCATATAAAAATAAATAAATAAAAATAAAGATATTGTGCCCATCTACAACTACAAAAATATTGTTAAAAATTGTACAGAATTTCTAGCTTTCAAATAACCTTCAAAAATTTTTAATGTTTTAAATATTTTAATGTTTTAAATATTTGAAATATTATGTATTAATGAGGCATAGTGGTTAATAGTTCAAACCAGGCCATCTAGTTTAAATATCAAAACTTTCTGTACTGCAATTTCCTCTTATGTAATAATAATAATAATAATAATAATAATTACTCATGGATTATTATGAGGTTTAAATGAATTAATACATCTAAGGCACTTAGAGAATGACACATACTAAGTGCTCAATAAATATTATTCTATCTGAAAGGGAAGAATTCAGAGAAGTGATGCTCAGATTTAGCACAGAAGACACTTCTTTTCTGGCTCATTTTGAACTTTGTTTCTTAATTGACTACACACAGTATAAGAAATAACTTTAATAAGTTGTACACATCCAAATCACTGATATCCCTGTACATTGGTGTGTGTGCTCTCTGTGTACAATTGGTTTCTTCCTTTATCCAGCTCATGTCTATTTTTTAACACCCAGTTACCTCTTCCGGAAAGCTTTTCTGATTCTGAAATGCAATTAGATTTAGGTGAATCTCCTCTATGTTTCCATGGCAGCCCATGTTTTTTCTATTATGGCACTTATCACCCAATAAATCACACAGTATACCACACAGTACATTTATCTATATCCTCTGTTGGATTACAGACTTCCTCTCCCTCCCTCTTTCTTTAAAAATCAAAACAGGAGCAGAGTGTGGTGGCATGTGTCTGTGGTCCCAGCCATTCCAGAGGCTGAGGCAGGAGGATCAAGACCAGCCTGGGCAATGCAGGAAGAACCTCACCTCAAAAAAGCAAAACCTGGGCTGGGATTGTGGCTCAGCAGTAAAGCGCTCACCTAGCCCTGGGTTCGATCCTCAGCACCACATAAAAATAATAAATGAATGGAGTAAAGATATTGTGTCCAACTACAACTAAAAAAAATAAATATTAAAAAAAAAAAAAGCAAAACCCAAGGGGCTGAGGCTGTAGCTCAGTGATAGAGCATTTGCTCCTCACATGTGAGGCACTGGGTTCAATCCTCAGCACCACATAAAAATAAATAAATAAATAAATAAATAAATAAATAAGATTTCACTCTTCCCCCCAAAATACTTTTAAAAAAAAGAAGAAAGAGAAAGAAACAAACAAACAAAATGGACCATAATTGTTTTGTTTCCTATTAAATATCTGGGACTTACCACTATACTTGACATACAGTAATCACCAAAGTATACATTGAATAAATGAATATATCATAGTATATACTACCTGTACCTGTCTATCATTGCATTTATCACCTAATACTGGAGTTGTTTGTCTCCTCCACTAGACTGTAAGATTTACTTTTAATTTTTTTTCAGTACTGGGGTTTGAATCCAAGGGTATGCTGAGCTATATCTCCAGCCCTTTTTATCCTATTTTATTATTATTACTTTTTTGCAGTCCTGGGGATTGACCCAGTGCCTTCTGTATGATAGGCAAACACTTTGCAACTGAGCTACATCCCCAACTCCCCTTTTGTTTTTTTATTTTTGAGGCAGGGTCTCACTAAGTTGCCAAGGTTGACTTTGTACTTATGATCCTCCTGCCTCAACCTCCCAAGTTGCTGAGATTACAGGTGTGCACCACTGCACTTAGTTTTTTTTTAATGTATATATATATTTTTAGTTGTAGTTGGACACAATACCTTTATTTATTAATTTATTTTTATGTGGTGCTGAGGATCGAACCCAGCGCCTTGCACACTGTGCTAGGCAAACGCTCTACTGCTGAGACATAAACCCAGCCCCTGCACCTAGCTTTTATCTAAATTCTTATCATTTCTTATCAGAATAAATGCTTATAATTGCCTGTTGAATAAATGGAGTCAGTACAATTACCATTCATGAAAATAAAAACTTAAATGTAATAATTTATTTATTTATTTTTGAGAGAGAGAGAGAGAGAGAGAGAGAGAGAGAGAGAGAGAGAGAGAGAGAATTTTAATATTTTAGTTTTGGGCGGACACAACATCTTTGTTTGTATGTGGTGCTGAGGATCGAATCCGGGCCGCACACATGCCAGGTGAACGCGCTACCACTTGAGCCACATCCCCAGCCCTAAATGTAATAATTTAGACCCTCACATATATTTAATTAAAAACTATATAGCCACAGAAATTAGTAACAAATTAGTAAATTAGTAGTTAAATTTTGAATTATGTATATTTTGCCACAAGAACAAAACAGAAGTTAACATTAAATTATATATACAGTTTATATACAACTATACAATCATATTTATAGAAAAATAATATGTAGGGCTGGGGATATGGCTCAAGTAGTAGTGCACTTGCCTGGCATGCGTGAGGCACTGGGTTCGATCCTCAGCACCACATAAAAATAAAATAAAGATATTGTGTCCACCTAAAAGCTAAAAAAAAAATAAATAAATTTTAAAAAATAATAATATGTAAATCATGTAACTATAATTAAAATGTACAACAAAATTTAAATTTGAAACCAGAAATTACAAATAAGAAACTGGGAAAGTATTAAGGTAAATCTAGAAGGGAAATAAATGGTCAAAGGGAGGGAAATTGTCACCAGAGGAGGGTCCAAGTCAGTCCCCAAGAGGGGGATCTCAGCTCTGGATGACAAGGTCCTTGGCATATGAGACAGAAAAGAATTATAGCATATATCACATATTGAGGCACAGACAGATTATTTAGGAAAGCAAGGAAGCACTCAAAGGGGAAGAGAGAGTGTGGGCTGCTTTTGAGAGTGAGAAGCAACATTTTGGTCTGGGTTGTTAATATTTATAGAGAGACAGAAGCTAGGGGCTGGACTAGGGGTGAAATCAGGTTGGGGTTATACAATTTCCCACCAGTTTTCCTTGTGCTTGTGTATTGCCCTTGAATCATGCTACTTTCTGCAGGTGGGGATGTGGACACCAGGACACAGCTGGGTTGCTCCCAAGTTGTTTGTTTTGTATTCTAATGGTTTATGGGCACTTATCTTTTAAGACTCAGTATATCTTCTTTCCTCTGTATCTTGCAAATTCCTACAGCAAAATGGTCATAATTTCTGCAAATCAAGAAGAAAAAATAAATATCTAACAAATAGTCATATAACATGGATCCAATCACACAAAAATGAATGCAACTATATAATTAATGAAAAAATATTTAAGTCATGGGTAATTAAAAGTACATATAAGGCTGGGGATGTGGCTCAGTGGTAGAGTGCTTGCGTAACATGTGCGAGGTCCTGGGTTCAGTCTCCAGCACTGTAGAAAACAAACAAAAATTAGAAAGAGAAAAACTCAGGACAATAAATTGAATAATCAGTATTACTATAATGATATAATAAGAGCATAGCCAACAAGGAATTGTTTAAAAATACCAATTTTTTTTCCATATTGTGTTTGGATGACAAATTATGGGTTATAGTAATTTCCCTCCTTTTGTATATTTAATTTTACTTTTTACTCCCCCCCCCCTTTTTTTGGTACTGGGGATTGAACCCTGGGGTGCTTTACTACTGAGTTATATCCCAGTCCTTTTTATTTTTTATTTTTTACTTTTAATAAGAAAATGAACATAAAAAGCAACAAGTCAATATTAGATATACAAGTTTCTTGATGAGAAAGTAGATACTTTCTCACTAAGATTAGGAGTAAGGCAAGGATGTCTATTATTATCACTACTGGCTAAGGCAATATGACAGGAAAAGGAAATAAAACATACAGATTGGAGTGTTGGCAGTCGCCCCTGCGTGGCCTCTATCTTGCCAAGCTCCTGCCGAAGAAAAAGTGGAGTTAAGTAAGAAGTCCTTTCTACCATGGCTTGTACAAAGCGAAATGCCAGCAAATCAACGGTTGCTAAAGCACTCAGGAAACAACTGGCTGCAAAAGCCGCTTGCAAGAGTGCGCCCTCTACTGGAGGGGTGAAGAACCCTCATTGTTACAGGCCTGGTACTGTGGCAGTCCGTGAAATTAGATGGTATTAGAAGTCCATTGAACTTCTGATGCGCAAACTCCCCTTCCAGCATCTGGTGCTAGAAATTGCTCAGGACTTCAAAACAGAGATGCACTTCCAGAGCG